CTAGGTTGTCCGCTGTTGACCCACTGCACAGACAGCAACTCTGAAATGCTTGCTCCAGAAACACTGCAGCGTCTCAGGGGCCAGAGATCTGCAGACACCCCCCCCACACCGGACCCAGCTCCACCAGGCATGGGGCCGGCCCGGGGAGGGAGTGGCTCTGGGGGAAGGTGACCTCTCCCGGGGGCCTTACAAGGATCAGCAGCCCCTAGACTTCCCTGTGTCATCCCTTTCTCCAGCCCATGGGTCACCCCCCTGCTCCAGGTCCCAGGGCATCAGGTTCCCTTCCCAGGGCAGGCTATGGGAAGCTCAAAGTGCACCAGGGGCTGTCTACTTCTCCAAAAATACCTCTCTAATCAGCCCTTTCTCGGGACTGAAATTCCCACATCCTTTAACCTATCTGGTCAAAACATCAAAGCTTTTCTGTTAAACTGCCAATAAAGTGACAGAGAAAGCTGCTGTCACAAATAGTTTTGGATAAGTTTTTCCTTGCTGGGTACCAGGCAGAGATAGAAGGAATGGACCAGGGCCAAGAAGGGACCTGGGAGGGACCGGCCGCTGACAGTGTTGGAGGAGGCTGGTGCCCTGCTAATTGGGGAGGACCCGGGGTGGCCACCTGCAGAGGGGAGGCCCAGGCAGCGCTGTGCGCACCCCGGTCTGACCCTGTCTGTCTCTCCCATGGTGGAGATGTGGGCACACAGTTTTGACTGCTTGTGGACTTCTTCCAACACAAACCAGACTTGTCGGTGTCTGCAGGATGCCGTGCCCACTCAGGAAAGGCCCTCTCGGACCAATTCTTGTGGCCCTGATGTCCACGACACTGAGTGCTGTTTCTCCAACGTGAGCAGACAACCAAGCCATCGCTTCCTGAAACATCCCTCAGCTCCTCTTTATGGTGGAAAATAGCGGACTTTTTTTTCCTAAGCTAACCTTTTGGCCTAAGCAGGGAGATTAAAGAATTTAGCCCTAACAATTTGGAGGGTTTTCTGGCTTAAAAAGTAGAAAATACATCTGTAAGCCTGATTTTAAACATCATAATCTTCTTATTACAGGATATTAACAGCATGTAAAATACATACAGCCGGATAACCAAGCGACGTAGCCTCAGCTAACTTTTTTTCCTTTTAGATTGCCGAAAAGATTAAATCCTAAAATGTGGGCATATGGACTTCTTCAATTTGAATTTTAAATTATTCAAATAAAAGCTGCCACCTAGCTCATGAAAAGCAGACATTTGCTGAGCCACTTTTTCATAGTGTAACCATTGAATAACTAAACTATTACCCCTGCAACTTAGTTAATTGGTTTTTACTTCCCCATTCTAATATGTGCACTATATGCATGTGTGTACATAATGCATAATACACATACATTAGTATATACAAAAATACACATACATAGTAATATCTATAAGATATATACTAGATATAGATGTGTATGTAGATATAGGTACAGATATAAATACATATATAGATAAAGATATAAACATATGCACTATTTTAACAAAGTAACTGGTAAATTAGTCACCAGATAATTGGGTATGACCTGTTCAGCCGCATAATTGCTGTCCTATTTTAGTCTTTCCCGCCTATTTTAATGCATGCATTCGCAGAGCCACACAAATAAGCCAATCCATCTTTTATTACCATCGCCACAAATTCTTAATTCCTAATTCCCTCTTAAATGCCCCTGGTGACTTGGCACTGACAGCAATTTGTTTAAGATAGATATTTACTGCTGGGTCCCGTGGCCAGGCCCACATGGCAGGAGCAGAAAGCAAAGACTCATACTTCTTTAGATTGTTTGTGAAGGAGGGCAGACTTGATGAATGATGCATATGTACATGCAAGGCACCGGCCACGGCCAAGGCTGAGGCCGCTGATGAATGGCAAACTCAGTGCCCAGGTGCCCAGCTCTGTGGTTCTCCAGCTGACTGGTGCTGGGGCACCGAACGCTGGCCACCATGTCAGGGTGGTAGGTGCCCCAGCCAACCAATACAGAAAGGATGACTCCTACTTTCTCTTACTAAGCACAAATGGTCCTTATTCATTCCTGCAGGCTGGCCAGAGGAGGCAGTCCCCTGGGAGTCCCAGCCTAGCCCATTCAATCTTAACGTGTTTCTTAAAAGATCTGATTTAACAATTCCTCATGGGGCAAGGGGGCATTTGCCAGCGTGTACTTGGCTGGAAGGCTTCTATGTCTCCAGAATCCTCCAGAGTAGATAAATGAGCAGAGCTCTGTGTCCCCTGGAAGGAAGGGCCAAACTCACTTTACATTCCTGCTTCCCTGGGCTCACTCAAGCCTTTGGGCCGCCCCAGGCCCCACCCAGCCCCAGACGCCCGGCCAGCAGCCCTCAAGTCAGCAGATTGATTTCTGCAAGGTAAAGATGCCAAACTGAACCTTCTTGTAGACAGCCAAAGCCATAACAGTCCAATGATGCCATCATGATTTTAAACGGGATGTTAGTAAATCGACTTTCACGGAGGATGTATCTTTTGAGTATGATTTTGTTTTTTGAAGCAAAACAGAGCATTTTATGAGCAGAGCAACATGAGGCAGAAATTCCTTGACAAAGACACACATTTAAAATTCTTACTACCTATTACCGTCCTTTTGCTTCTTCCTCATAAAACCACCCAACACACTCGTGCACGCAGAATAAGATGGCAGAAAAGTAGTATAAATATCACGGGAGTAGGGAATTTTTTGACATGTTAGTAATTTTTAATAAGACGCCTGTACAGATAGAAACGAATCCATAATGAATGAGACCACGGAGAAATGAGGAGCGGATTCCAAGTTTACCCATAACCTTATAAACGGGCCCCCCTCCCCTTGAAGCTTCTGCCGTACAAGCCGCGTCGGTGCTAAATGAAAGGTGGTCAGCAGCTAAAGGTCCTGCTTCTCTCCAGGCTTCACTGCGCCTCTGAGAGCAAGCATCACCTGCTCCTCCCGCCTGCGTCCTGTCTTCTATTCTTCATTACCCCACAGATGACCTATCTGATAGGCGTCCCCCTCCTGCAGATTCCTGCTGCCAGCCTTCAGCGAGAATAAAGCCGGCAACCCTTTTTATCTTCATTCTGCCAATGCTCCCCTCCTCTGTTTTTTTCTAAAGATCGTTTGCCAGCACTGCTTGCTCAGTGGTACCCAGTGGAACAAGCAGTGTCTTCTGTACTGACAATTCTGACTTTTTGCTGCTTGTGATTTTTCTAAAGCATGACAACCACTTGCATGAAGACACGGCAAACCTTTTCAGATAAGGAAGTCGGTAAAAAGAAGGGCCTTTCAAGAAACAGAAGTTGTTACTGCAGGAGCTGAACAAAACCAGTCTCTTACGTATTAATTTAAGTTGGCCCTAACTTTCGCGTGGCAAGAGGAATTAGAATCACGCCACCCATGAGTGTGTGTGTGGTGTGTATGTGTTTTAAAAGAGCGTTTTGCTTGGACAGACATTAAGAAAAGTCATCACACTAGCAACTTCAAACCAGAAGATTTTATCTACTCCATATTTATACACATGCCATATGGTAATTTTTTTGATATTCATTCAGAAGTGGCCTAATTCCAAAGCCAAATGAGTTTCTTTTCAACACAGTTCTCAACAATAGTTCTCCAAAATAGATTAAATCTGAACGTTTTTCCTTCCACAAAACTGCTAAGAAAAGAAATGATCTGTTGAGTCTGGAATTTAACACCATGGTACGTGTAAGTTGAATAAGATTTTCAACTGAGATAATTAAGTGCAATATTATTTCAGAGAAATAGCCGAATACATAAATATTTCAGTCATGTCAGCACAGCCTCATTTCAGAGTAGGATCGGAATGTTCCTGATATGATTAGAGGAATAGTCCACTGCCTGCGAGAGTCAATCACAGCAGACTCCAGCTTTCCCATAATTTAAAATCAGACCAACCAGTGGCCATCAAGTATCTGTGTTTCTCTGGATCCCAGAAAAAATCCCTCACAGCCACTACGACTGATTGAAAACGCTCCGGAAGACAGTGAAAATCACTTAAGAATTTTTTTATTCCTAATTTCTTGTAAATTCACATATTTTTTGCACATTTTACTACAGATTTAGGTATAAATAGTTATTTTATCAAATTCAGATAAGAATTCTAACCACTATTTATTGAGAATTTACGACACATCAGGTGCTCTGTTCCAGTACCTGCCATGTGTTATTTTCCTTAAACCTCACGACAGCCTGGTGAAGTAGGTACAATTATCCACATTTGGGAGAGAAGGAACCCAGGGCTCAGAGAGCTTGTTAATTTGCCCAATGTCACACAGCCAGAAAGTGGCAGAGTACAACCTGGCATCCAGCTGCATCTAGTCAAGGCCAAGGCTCTTGACTTCTCTGCCTGGACATCTCCCACAGTAGAAAATGCAAATGGTCACCAAGTAAGGCGGTAAAAGCTGTTCCCCTCCGTGAATGCCACCTCTTCTGTGAAGCCCTCCAGGTACCTCCAAACAGAAATGCTTTGTAGCTACAGTAGATTGCTGATCATGTGGTACTGGGCCAAGTAATTGTGTGTGGGTCTCTTATCTCCCCTAACTCCTTGAAGGTCAAGATACCTCTTGCTGTCCCTTACACACCAGTGTCTAACAGTCAAATTGTGTTTGTGATTTAATTAAATCAACCTGCGTGTGTCTGAAAAATTTCCCTTAGTCTCTGGTCTTCTTAAATGACCTATGTTCACTAAAAAAAACGAACACCAAAAGATGTTCTATGTATGTTATTAATTTAAAAAGCAGATTATGAGATACTATATACAATAGAAAAATCTCATTTTATTTTGTGTCCAAACACACATTCAACGCACATACACAGAAGAGAAGGTCAGCATGAGACACACCAAAATGGTCACAGGGGTCACAAAGGGATTGGGATTGGTTTTAATTTTTTATCTTTTTTGCATAATCTATATTTTCCAAGTTTCCTCCTGTGAACATATATATTTCTTCTTATCATTTAAAAAAAAAGAGTGGAGAACTTACCTAGTCAGGTGTATTTCCCAGAATCCAAGGACACTCCAGGCAGAAGGGCCGGAACCACGCACTCAAATCTTCAGGCGGGAAATGGAGGGGCCGCAGAGGCGGAACTTGCTCCAAGCCCCGCCTCCTTCCGCCCAGACCTGAAGGTGACTCACCGTCTCTCCCGCACGGAGCCCAGCTAAGACGCAAGCACACGCATCGTTCTGTCCACCCTCCCCGCCTCCCCGCCAGGGAGACTCCTGGGTGCGTGGAGCAGGTTGTAGGACGAGGCCAGGGCCCTCCCTCCAAGATGAACCATCCCAGAGGCTCCCGATCCTGCCCAGCCTCCTCTCAGTTCCAAAACTGGGGCTGGGGGGCCGAGGACCAGCCCGGGATCGGGGTGCCTGCCGTGAGGCGATAGCTGGGGAGGGTGTGGGGAGCACGCGAGGGCATCACTGCACCCGGCGGAGACAGATGGAAGGCCAAGGTCGAGAGAGGTCACAAAACACATCCCTGAAGTTAGAAATCCAGGTGAACCCAAGTCAGCAAAGAGAGGGGCCTAGCTACTGTCTAGAAATGCCTGGAAGTGACCAGGGCTACCATTCCAGAATTTCTTAAATAGTTGGTACTTGTCTTATAGTCAGTCTGAGTCCTAGAGCAGAGCTGTGTGCATTGAGAGAGTGCGGGATCACCTTTCCTCCACTCAGTTCCACCCGTCCACCTGCCAGCGGGTGAAGCTCAAAGCCAAATGCCAACCACAGGGGCACAGCCAGCTGAGCCTGGTGCCCGGAGCCAACATGACTGACCCGCCAGGATAATGTCCCCATCCTCAGCCCAAGGACGTGTAAAACCACCCTGTGCCGCCCTACGGGGACATAGAAGGTGCAGAACACAGCCACTTTGCCATCTTGGGTCAGTGTCAGCTGCAGCCATTCACACGAGCAATTACAACATAGATTTCAGCTTAAAATTCACAGAAAAAAGTGCTCATCTTGGAGGCAGTACCATATGTGAACTCTCTGTACTTGCCGCTCAAGTTTGCTGTGAAGCTAAAACTGCTCCAAAAAAGAAAGTCTATTAAAAAAAAGCTCATTCTAGCCGCACCACGCTCCTCAAGTCCTGCCTGACCGCTCAGTCCACCCTTCAGATGCTCCTTCTGCTTCTCTTCACCTCAGGTCCTCCCTGTCTCCATCTCCCCTTCCCCCTCCGTGTGCACACATGTCCCTGTGTGCGTGTGCACATTCACATGTGCCCATATCTGCATGGTGTGTGTGCAGCTGTGTGGGTGTGCACACACATGCATTCATGTGCCGCCTCATCCTCCGCTCTCTTGCTCTTCCTCATGTTCCCTCACTACAACGGACTCAGCTCCCCAACTGTGACTCAGAGCCCCCCCTCACTCTTCCCTGGAGAGGGGACGGGTGTCTGCTCTGAGAGCCCTCCTCACCTGCAGTCGGATCATGGGGGGAAGCTCAGAGTCCTTAGGAACGGTACAGGGCACTAATACTCCTTGTAAAACAAAAATTGACAGCCTGGTCTCGGGGCGGCAGTGGCCCTCTGCTGGCCCTCTGGGGGCCACCTTCCACCTCCGCAGGGCCAGGCAGGGGAACAGAGGAGAAAGAGGCAGCACCTTGAAATCCCGCACAACCATGGAGTCCAAAACATCGTCAACGAATTTAAGTCTCTAGGGAAAAACATACCCCTGGTCTGAAATAAATAAATGCATGAATGCATGAATACCTGAATGAATGAATGCATGCATGAATGAATGAATGAATAAATAAGGCTAAATTCTCCTAAACCAGAAAACAAGAGGATTTCCATGAATGGTTCCCTCTCAGGCACTTTGCTGAGCCCCGCGTCTGTCCCGGGCACGGGGAGGACACCTGCCGGAGCTGGAACCTCTGCAGCCCTCTCCTCAGGTGTGCACCACGCAGAGTAGGGGCACGAAGGGAACTTGGCTAATTTACTTCCTCGAAAGGTGTTATTTTTCCACTTTAGCTTTTTAATCCCACAAACCAGACCAACTATGATTTTAGGTGGAATGAGAGGGAAGCAGAGGAATGGGAGAGAGAACCTGTCCGAAGATACCCCTGTGCTTTGTACCAGATTTCCTGGTTCGATGCCAGCTTCCTCCTTACTATGTCACCATGGTAAGTCACCTCACCTCTCTGTGCCTCATTTCCTCATCTGTAAAGTGGGGTCAATAATGTCCCCCACATGGGGGTGTGTGACGGATCAATGAGCTCACGCAGGTAAGGTCCTTGGAATGATACCTGGCATTGAGCACTCAATAACTGTTAGCCATGAAAGTTAAAATTTTAGGGTTAACAGGCTTAACTTTAATTTTTAGAATCATAAACGAGAGTTTCCAAAGCCAGAGATGTTGCTCAGATCACAGCACCAGTAGTAACTTAGTCTGGACACACAAGCGATCAAATGATAAGTTGGGGTTTCCAGCAAATTAATTGATCAGGATGGTGCTGGGTCCCAGTTGGTTTCCTGGGCAGAAAGGAGCCGGTTACCCTGAAGCCAGCCTGAGGGTGTGGGGTCTGCAGTATCCCCAGGCAGCACAGCTGGGCAAGCCCTTGACTCCCGTGCCCTCCCAGGACAGCACTCCTTCTTCTGACAGGCTTTTTCTGTCTAGTTCAACCTTCAGATCAATTTAAAGACGGTGGGGAAATGTCTCCACCCCAACGTTCGTTCTGCAAGCCTGTGAACCACCTCCACTGTGTGCGGGAAGGCCCAGGCCACACCACACCCACAAGCCCCAGCTGCCTTGGCCCGGCTGTCTGACATATGCCACAGCTTCACGAACAGTAACACAACTTCGCAACGAACGTGTGAGCTTGCTTGGCCGTCAGGAGTGACAGGCAGGCCCTCTGCCACTTTCCCAAGACCCTTCCAAGCCACTCATGGAATGAAAGTAATTAGAGCGCCAGCCCCCTGACCCCAGCTGATCCCAGAGCCCTGCCTTTGCAGAGGCAGGAGGACAAAGGGTGAAATCAGAGGCTCCCTGGGGCCTCATCAATGAGCCAACGGAGCCAAAAGGCAGGCTCCAAATCCGCCTTAGCCCCTCACCTCCAGCCCTGTCCCCCTACGCCTCCTCCGGCAGCTCTGGGGGCCGGGCCTGGTGTTCCCGCCACCCCCTGACCCCAGGGACTCTCCCAGGCAGACTGCGTACTGCGTTGTTTCTGTGGCTCCTCTACCAGGAAGAAGCAGGACCGAGGTTGGTCTCCTTTGGCCCAGTGACAACTGATGGTCCCAGGGACCTGACATTTACTATGCTGGGCATGCTATTTTAAAAAAGTTTCCATTTTGTCTCTTCCACCTTCCAAACCAGTTTCAGAGTTCTTAGTAAATCTTCTTCACCAAGCTTTAATATTTGTAGTATCTAGGAACAGTTTTCTCATTTTCAAGACCTACATTACATCATACCCATGACTTCTGCCTAAAATATGTGTGTCTGATAAGACAAAAACAGAATTCATCAAGGCGCAGTGCCCACCCAGTGAGCAGACGCGTTATCTCCCAGCCCTGGCACCACGGAAGCACATTCCTGTAGGTGGTCACTCTCCTCTCTTGTACCTCCTCCAACCGATCAGTTGCATGTCCCATAGGTTCTTTCTCCAAAATTTTCCTTGAACCACCGGCTCCTCCCCGTTCCCATAACTGCCCCACCCCGAGCACTTGTCATTTCCTTGATCACTGCCATCTCCACCAGATCATCTCATGGGTCCTCAGAAATCTCCCTCCACCCATGTCCACATGAGCTAAGGCAAACCACACACCCTGGGCTACATGCCTCAGCCTGGAGGCCTCTGCAGCTTTCCTGTCATCAGTCTATGGGTAGCATCCCAACTCTTCTGTATGGCATTGAAAGGCCTTCTCGCTCTGGTGGCAACCACCTTTCCAGCCTCGTCCCCCGCCACTCCCCATGCCCAGCCACCCTAAACTAGAGCCACGTGAGGCGACTGTGTGATGCTGTCTCCCCTCACTGCCTGGAGAGCCCCACCTCCTCTGCCTCTGGTGGACTGTTCCATTGGTGGCCCTCAATGAACTATGCCTCCCAGGATTCCTGCCATTTTGTAGTATCCTCTCACGTGGACTCTGGGCTTGGTTATGTGAGTTGCTTGGGGCAATAGGACATTAGGAAGAGCAATACAAGCCAAGGCTTGATGAGCACTTGTGCACCAGAGTCTTCCTGCAACCCTTCCTGAGGCCCTCTGCCATGTAAGGAGGTCCAGCCACTCTGCTGGAGAGACCACAAAGACAGACCATGAAGAGCCATGTGGAAAGAAGAGTCTCAAACCTACATGAAGAATATATAATAATATAAGAGGGGCAGCCGTGCCAGGGTCCCGGTTGAGCCTCCAGATGATCCCATTCCCAGCTGTGAACTGACTGCATCTGCATGAGACCCAACGTGAGACCGGGAGAACTGCCCAGCTGAACGCAGTCAACCAAGAGAACACGAGAAATAATGAAGCATCACTGTCAGCTGCTGAGCCCTGGGTTGCCGCGATGTGCAGCGGCAGGTAACTAACACAGCCCGTTATCACTCAATTCAGCTTAAAATTCAAGGAGCACTTGCAACCCTAATATGTGTATTCTCTGCTTCCTGGTATGATAAAGGGTTGGGCATGGGTATGATAAAGAGAGCACAGGCCACTTCTTCGAGGACATTGCAGCCCAGTTGGATACTCTCATTCACGCAGTCTTCCAGAAAACATTATTTTGAGCACCTACTATGGATGAGACACGGCAAGGTCTCCTGCCTGCATTCACCTTGGCTCCCACTGCACCAGTTGTTTTCCATTCACACTTAACCTCAAGGGCTGGAATCAGCTGCTCCTCTCAGAATGAATGCACCCCAAGTGCTCCCCAAAGGCCCAGAGCTTGAAACTCTCAGGGAAGATGGTGTGGGAGCCGAGGGAGCATCAGTCCCTTAGGAGAGATGGCTCCATCAGCGGTAGATCTCCCCCCAATCTTCTGGGTCAGAAAGGGAAGGTACTCCTGCTTGTTATTCATAGATCCATCTATTCTTTCAGATTCCTAAGATGTGGAGTCCAGAAAGACAATCTCACTCCAGAGGCTAAGCAG